AGAAGTCTTTGGAAGCACATAAAAATTTAATTTTTAGAAGGTCCCAATCATCTGGCTTCTCTTCTGCTGTTGGTGCATTTTGAATTATGCTTGCTACTCTATTTATACCATATATTAGGGCCCTTAAATTTGACCCTAAATTTTCCTTGAGGAACTGTATAGTTCTAGGTTTCACATTTAGGAACCCTTCAACTTTTACAGCTCTGGTCAAGACACTTTTTGTCTATGAAACTTTATCCCATAATGAGCCATTTCTGTGCGTTCCTTTTGATAATCATCATCAGTTTGTACTATTCATTGGGAACACCTGATTCTATTCTATCTAGCATTGCAATACATAGCGCTACCTAGTGTTTTTACTGTTTGGTTAGTCCTCTCCACAAGACTATAGATTTCTGCCTGGTAAGATTACAGTAAAACTGTGAAAGTTGGAACCTGTATAAGGCAGAAATCTGACAAGAAGAAAACTCAAATATTTTCCACTAAAACAAGCTACAGAAAAGCAGTTGTTGTTGTTGTATGTGCTGTCGAGTTGGACAGGACTCATAGAGACCCCTCTTTGGGTTTCCAAGACAGTATCACTACAGAAGTAGGTTGCCATATCTTCCTTCTGAGGAGTGGCTGGTGGGTGTGAACTACCAGCCTTCTGGTTAGCAGTGAAGTGCCTTAGGCACTACACTACCAGAGCTCCTATTACAGCATAGGACACATAAATATTCTATCAGTGAATAGTTGTTGAGTTATGGAAGACTCAATCTTTCAACAGGTATTATCTGAAATAAATGTATGGTGTTCTAGGGAAGTAATTATTGCTTGACAAAAAAGAAAACGTCCTAATGATTCAATTTTACACACTCAATAAAATCTTTGGGCACTTCTATATTCTTGCGATTTATTTCATAAAAATAATTTACATCCAACACTTCATTCCCTAAGAGTGCTAGACAAAAATATTATTGTATACTTTTTATTTCTTAATGGATTGCAGCACAATATAAAACTCACCAAATTACTAACTATGTACCCTAAGATCTAACCATAAAACAAATCACTTCAGTTTTTCAATTTTTTTTTAAATCAAGCACATGCATTTATGTGATTTTCCATTATGACACTATTTAATGTTCTCTAAAGCTGCAAATCATGAATTTCTAAATTCCCTTCACTGCTCCAGTTGTTGTTGTTATTGTTGTTGTTATGTGCTGTCGAGTCGCACCCGACTGACAGTGACCCCTCCTTGGGTTTCCGAGGCAGTTATCACTACGGAAGTAGATTGCCTCATCTTCCTTCCAAGTCATTGCTCCAACAGCACTCAGCAAATATACAGAGCTAGTTCTGTGTATCAGATGGGTTTCAAATAGCATTTTCAGCCTCAGTCCTTTTGATTTTAATGGAAAACTGGGGCTATCATTATGGACAGTACTTTATCAGAGTACAGAATTAGCTATAAACACACATGATGTCTAGAATATTACACATTAAGAACTAAATAATTATAGCTTAATTCTTTAACACATTTCTCCTATTAGAATCTAGAACCTTGAAAGGTAGGCATGGTTTACCTAACATGTTTCTCATGACAGTGACTAACATGGAAGCTTGCAAATAACATGCAACCAAAATATATTTTGAAGAACTGATCCCAGCTCTTTTTAGATTTCTCTTTGTATCTCTTGCCATTTTCTACAACTTTTATTTCCCTTTTCTCCACACCCCCTTTTTTTAAACATTTTATTGTCGTTTGGATGAAGTTTACAAAGCACATTAGTTTCCCATTCAACGATTTATACATTATAACATCTTGTTTGATGACATTAATTGCAATCCCCTCAATTTAACAGCACTCTGCCCACTTTCTCCCTGGGTTCCATATTTCCATTTGCCTATCCTTCCTGCCTTCTAAACTTTGTTTTTGGACAAGTGCTGCCCTTTTGGTCTTGTTACTGTTGACTGTTCTGAGAATCATGTTTCTCATGGGTGTTACTGTTATTATACAAATAGGCCTGTCTGTTATTTGTATGAAAGGTGATCTCTGGGAGTGTGGGTTCAATTCCAGGTCTGAAGGATGTTAGACATAGTCTCAAGGGTTCTACAAGTCTCTATCAGACCAGTAAATCTGGTCTTTTTTTATGATTTTGAATTTTGTTTTCCATTTTTCTCCCACTCCGTCTACAACCTTATATTGTGATCATGATCAAAGTGGTTGGTAGTGGTAGCAGGGCACCATCTACTTCTAGTCTCAGGCTAGTAGAGGCTGGGGTTCATATGATCCATTAGTTCTCTGGACTTCATTTTGCTCTCCTGTTTCTCCTCACAAACTGACACTCAGAGTATAAACCATTAGTGTGTGCAATGTGCCGGTACTTCCTTCACCACATAAGACGACATCAGTATTCTGGCTCTCCCATATTCTACAGTACCCATTCCTGCCCCTCCCAATACCTGATTTTCTTAAGGGTGCTGATCATATCATCCAATGCCTTGCGGTAAGCACTGATTACCACTGTTGGGTGCATTTGTTGCTCTAGGAAGTGCTCAGCCACAGACAGCATCTCTCCTGCTAAAAAAAAAAAAAAAAAAAAAAAGATAAAAACACCAGATTTAACTATTTTTCCC